AAGAGATTATCTCGTAATTCTGTTTCTGAGGAAACAAATCGCTTTCGAATGGAATCAACGAAATGGTTCCATCCAGCCAACTGTTGCCATCTTTGCATCCACCGAAACCATTTTTTAGCTATCCCTTCCATCCGATAAGATGCCATTGTAACTCGGTAATGATCATCTATCTGATAAAATTCAAAAAATTCTTGAGCTGAAGCAATCCACTCCTCTGGATCTTCTCCGGTAAACAATGGCAACTAATGAGCAGGATCTGGAGGAAAAGAAACATCGCCTGCCATCTCTCAACGAAAGCACCAATGTTATGAACTCAATAACTCACTATTATAAATGGAAATATTCAAGCTGAATTTTCCCTGAAGAACAAAAAAAATAAAGTAGAAGAGAAAATAGGAAGAGAATTAAAAGAGAAGATTAGAAGAGAACTATAAAAGAAGAGAGGATAACAAATTATCACAATATTCATGCTCTCATTCTATTCTCTACTGTACTTAATACTAGCTGCCCAGACTAACCAATCAGGCCTTGGAATACTTTGCTCCCATGTATTCCTGCTGGCAATGATTGCTGAGTTGACTTTGGCTGCATCTGGTTCATAACAATCCATGAAAGTTCAAAGGATTAGAGTGAGGAGAGAAAGACGGAGAAACACAAATATTGAAATTAACAGGAGGCGAATCGTGGGTTTTCGAAGAAAATTTTTGGGTTTGTTTTTTACGTGGGATTGTTGTGGTTGTGAAGAAGGCATGGTCATGTGATGGGTGGTGGTGTTTAAGAATTTTGAAAACCTAAAGATGGAAATGAAATTCAAAAGAATAGAGTTGGAGTGACGGTGTTTGGTATTGGAAATTTTACTAAAGTTAAAATTATTGTTTAAGCATATATTTAATGTTTTAATACTAGTTTAGAGGTGAAAATTAAATATTAATCTTCTTTTAATGATGTCACATTATCAATATAACGGAGATGACAGTAGATTGATCATTTCATTACAAATTGATAATATTAATGATTAATTTATTATTTTTAAAACTTTAGTAGGAAAAATAAAAATGGGTTAAAACGGATGGTAATTTAACCCGAAAATGATGTGTTCAAATGGTAATTTAACCCCAAATTGGTGAATTTCGACCCGATTTGATATGATAATGTCAGATTTTTTAAAAGAATCTGGATTCAAATTGATTCGGGTCAAATTTTTTAAGCAGGTGAAGTCAGAGTCGAGTCAAGTTCAGGTGGAGAGTGGAAGAAATCCGACCTAAGAATAATAATGAAATTTATTTAAAAAATATTATTATTTAATTAAGTTCTTATATTTATACCAGGTTGAGTCGGCTCAAATCTGATTTATACTCTAAAAATTTGAGTTGGGTCGAAGATATATATTTTTAGGTCTAGTCGGATGGAGGATATATATAATTTTTGGTTCGGTTCAGGTTCGGCTGGAGGATACATATTTTGGGTCGGGTTGAGTTGACAAAAAACACGACTCTAAACCGAGTCGTTATCATCCCTAGGGGCATAAATATATCGAAGGGGGGTGAGTTTAGGCATTCACCCTCTGAATTTTTTTTTGTTGTATTTTCTTGATAATTTATTTTCGTCATCTTAAAATTTTTTAAATTCATTTTTCTCTCAAATTTTATAAGTTTACTTCTTTAACATAAAATTATATATTAGTCCCTAAACGATGCCTTTGGTTGAATTATTTATTTTAATTTTTTTTTTTGTAATTTATGTTGGAATAAATCAATTTACATATTTTTAAAAGGCTTATATCACATACAAATATCTAAAATATACCATCTTTTTCTTTTAGCTAAAATAGTTTTTAGTCAAAATATTTACATAAAGTTTCAAAAGGTGAATATTTTAAATAAAAACAGTAACGTCAGTTAGAAAAAGAATATAGGCCAATTAAAAAGTGACAAATGGCATAATAAATTCATTTACATAAAAAATAAAATGAAAAAAAATTAAATGAAAAAAAAAAGCACAACCCACGATTAAAACAAAAAAACTAACAGACACCCATTTACTTAATTTTCTCCTCGCTTTCTTTTCAGAAATTTTTTTCTCCTTTCTTCAGTTTAGGAATTTTAAACCCTAGCCTTTAAATCTCAAATACTTTTTTAAAACCTAAGTTCTCAAATTGACTTTGATTGTTGAAATTCAGAAAAGAAAATAATGAAAGGTTCTCAATTTCAAAACCCAGCAGACAGACGAAAACAATTTAGTGAAGGTAAGTTATTGTTTGGAATTGTATAGTGTATATCTATTATGTTAATATACTGTTATAGTCTGCTTTAAATGTGAAAAATAATGAAATTGCGAGGTAAACTTATCCGGAGAAGAGGGGAAACTTATCTGGAGAAGATGGTGAGGTAAACTTATCTGAATTTTTTTTTTTTTTGAATTTCACAAATTCAAAAGAGTTCAAAAACCCTAGATTGAAGAAAAGAGGGGAAAACTTATCTGGAGAAGATGGTGAAGTAAACTTAATCGATGGTGGGTTTTGGTTTTTTTTTCATTTAATTTATTTTCTTTTCAATTTTTTATGTAAATGTATTTAATATGTCATTTGTCACTTTTTTATTGGCCAATATATTTTTTTTAACCAACTTTACTTTTCCATTTAAAATATTCATAGTTTGAAACTTTAGGCACATGTTTTGATTAAAAAATATTTTAAGTATGGTATACTTTTTTTAAGTATTTATTTGTGATATAATCCTTCTAAAAATTGTAAGGAAATTAATTGGTGTTATTGAAACGTGTAATTCAATTTAGGGTAAACTACATGAATGATTACGGATGTTTGAGTAAATTTTTATTTTACACTGAAGTATTAAAAATAAACAAATGTATTACTAACATTATTGATTTATAACAAAATGATTACTAACGTGATCAATTTGTAATAGAATTATCATTCCACCGTTGTCTTTGTTACATGGAAACATTAATAAAAATGTTAATATTTTTTTATCCATAAACTATTACTAAAACATTAAATAGGTTCTTAAACAATGAATTTATATCTAATTTATCCCAAAAACTTTCTAATTTATAGTTTTTTTTAAATCACCCCACCATTACAACTATATTCAAACTACCTTCCTTAGAAATCGAAAATCACACTGCATAGATAATTGGAGTTTTCCCATTAAACACAAACACATGAGTATTTAAAGTCATTTATTCAATTAATCTGAATGTAAAAAATAATGCTTTTGGGATGGTTTTCATTTTGTAAGGAAAATAGTTAGAATATTTAAACACAAACGAGAGTTTGTTTAAGTGTGATTTTCGTTTTGTAAGAAAAGTGGTTAGAATATAATTGAGATGGTGGGGTGTTTAAAAACTAGAAACTAGATATAAAATCATTGTTTAAAGACTTATTTAATGTTTTAGCAATAGTTTAGGAGTAAAACTAAATATTAACCTTTTTATCAATGTTGTCACATCATCAATTTAAAAGAGAAAACGTTGGAGTGATCATTTTATTACAAATCGATAACGTTAGGTGACTTTTGAAACTTTAGTAGGGAAAACAAACAATTGCTCAAACATTAATAACTATTGGCGTAGTTTACCCTTTTAGATTATTCAAATTGTAGAATATAACTCAATTTGATCAATGTAAAATTTATAAATTTTTTTAGTCAAAAGAAATTTATAATTTTTTTTCGATATTTTAAGTTAAATAGAGTTTCCATCACTCACACCTTTTAAATAATCTCATTAATGTTTTTCAAAGATAATTATCAATGAAAAATGAATCTTGATTTTCCTAATAATGTGTCGGACATAGTTATCATATCACAGAGCCATCAGCGCTAGTGTAGGGGCTGTTCGGGATATCAGTAGTACTATACTCAGGATGTATGGGTTACATCAAGATGTAAGGTTTGGAGATTTTTGCACAGTTGATCGATCTCTGTGTTCCTATCATTATTAAGTAAATTAGAGATTAAATATATTCAAATTGATAATCGAATGTACCTCTGGGGGTAGTTGAAGTTCCTGAAGGTTTCTTTATTTCAACAAAGGAATGTTTTGCTATTTACATGATCAATTTGTAATACAATCCAAATATAGTATACTTTTACTGACAATGAACCTCTATTTTATTGTCCAAGTTAAATCCCTGGGACTTGTTTTATGTGAAATCCAAAGTTACTCTTGCTCAAATTTCAGTATTATATTTCTTCAATTCAACGAGGGATTGAATTGAAACCCTTGATAAAAGGGTCCATCTGCTACTTAACCAATATAAAAGGATGATTTCCTCCATTAATATAATTTGACAGTCGTTTTCCATCACAATTACATGGCACGCGGTTTGTCATATATATTCGGGGAAAAGAAAGCCAGGAGAGTGCAAGTTGCATATATGGAAAATAAAATATAAAACTTGCATCTGGTCAATTCTGACTTCCTTGACTTTTAACATTTACTATGCTTATGCTTGCTAGCGTCTCTGATTTGCCTTTACATTGTCTCGTATTTGGTTCTACATATCAACTAGAGTATAGTAGAATCCAACCCGCCTAACCCAATCTACTACTTTCATAACTCAAAACTATAATTTTACTTATAAGATCTAATATCTCATCTAACTAAACCTAAATCCTAGGGTTTGATTCAAAGAACAATACAAGTAATCTAGCAGTAGCACCGCTGTTGAGCTAATGAATGTTTGCTCGGTTTGATGTATGGATTCTAAACCAAATCCATAACTACTAATTCCATTGCTCATTTCTATGGCGTCTTTGTGAGATATTAAACTTTTAGATTTGTACTGTAAACTGGTTGCGGATCTCTACTTTTGTTATACCAATTATTTATATACAACAGTATATTCGGCCTCTTGCATGAAATGTATTACAGAAACTGGAAGAGCTAAAAAGAAAAAGTTACAGATACAAAACAAAACCAAAAAAAGACGGTGCATAAGTTGTTCTACAATTTGGTTGTTACATGGCTAAAGACTAATTCAACAACCGCCGGTTAAGGTTGCAGATTCGGACCATACTTCATGAGACAAATCTGGAAACTGGTCGAGAAAGAAACCCTCGAACTCGAAATTCTCAAAGCTTTGAACTAATTCGTCACTCAACATTATGTTCGGCATTTCTAGTTCTTCCATATTTATGATCTCGTGTTTCATAAGCTCATCTTTAATGGTAGTTGGAGAAAGAGCTGTTTCTTCTGCCCCATGGAGTTCAATTTTACTGGCAAGGCTTTTTGCTACTGTTGATGACTTTTTGCGAGTGCTTCCGGCAAGCGAGTTTCGCCGAGTCGGGTGGCCATGGCTGTGCTCGCCGGTGTATGATATGATAAAGATGCCGGGATCCGAGCAGCTGCGCTCTACTTGCTTTCTTGCTAAACATCCTTTTAAGCTGCTGCACCTGTAATAGCTCCTGTGTTTTCATTACAAAATATAAGCTTTTATACCAAAACAAAGATGACAATGAAGAAAGAGAGAGATATGCTTAATTACCTTGGATATGGTGAGCCCTTGATGGGTTTCTGCCCATATTTTCGCCATGCCCATCTATCCGATTGAATATCATCAGCGGTTACATGCTGCACCACTCTATTTTTCTGATTCTTCCGGCTGAAACACGAGAAAATCGATTGTTTACTCAACAAAACTTACCAAATTCTTACTTTGACATCACAAGCATGATTGTTTTACAAACCTGGATCTTTTAGGTTTGCCTGAGTACTCCTTACTTGCACCAGAAATATTAGCAGACTGAGAAACATATTGCTGCAGGTTCTCAGGTTCCTCCACATGTTCTTCAAGGACTGGTACTGAATATGGATTGAACTCAGGATAAAAGGGCTTGTAAAGCTCTTCTAATCCATCTAAATCTTTCGGGCTGGGTTCAAAATTTTCTGGGAAACTCATGAGATCTTCTTCCTGTTGGAAACTCCAAGGATCGAAACTGAAAGCTGGACTTTCCATGTAAGAGATACAGGCATTCTTGCTGCTTTCTCCATCTACTTCTTGCAAATCCCAGTTCTCCATGTACAAGTTACTCATCATCAAAGAGTGGTGCTGACTGGGGATCTTTCAGAGAATTGTGATGAAACGAGGAGATGGGTATATGAGAGAAAATCTAAATAAAAGGCCTTTGTTTATATATTCAAAGAAAGAGAAAAAAATATTGTTTTTTACTGGAAATTAAGCTGAAATCCTGTAAGTTTGGTTCATATTTCCACCAAGTTGACATTTTGAAAAGTCAAAGGATCATTGCAGCTCATATATTCAGCATTGTATACAGTTTTCATTTCTGGCGTTTCGATGACATCTTTGACGATGTCGGTGAGAAAGGAATTTTTGACTCAGCTTCCTTTTAAAAAATTTCATTCCTATCATGATGATAAGCTGAATAAACACCAGTAAAATTAGTTACCGTTAAATTTTATCATATATGTTGGATTGAACTTTATTACAATGAATTAGTGTGAGTTGAGTTAATAACTCAAGTATTGTATAATTATAAACTGTAACTTCAAATGTATATTATTATATTTTCGGAGTTAACAGTTGGAAATCTCTTGATCTCTGTTAGACTTTATTCATTGAAACTACATATACTTCATCACTTTTATACAGATTTCTTCCCTTACTAGATTCTTTCAAAAATCTTAGTTCTTACTGTACATAATTCTAGTCGACTATAATGTATAGTAAAAACCTCTATCAAGTCCTCATGATGTGTCGGAACAAAATTTAAAGACTAACAATCAAATATGTTTGACATGTCAACCTATAAATGGTTATAATAATAGTACGGTTGATATGCGCACTAAAAACCATTATAAATATCTTCAATCAAGATGAAAAAGGGACAAACCATTATAATCGACCGATCCTCATTCCTTTAAACATCGACTAACATAGGCTTGAAATTAGGAATTTATTATAGAGGGGTTAAATTTTTTTTATTATTTTATAAATACAATTCTTTTTAATTGAGGGGGTCTAGTAAACTTTTCTTTCTTTATTTTTTTTAAAAATATATATTTTTAATACTAATTAATACTTTAAAAAAATTGACGGGCCAAAGCTTCCCTTGACCCTCATGAAGTTAATGGTCGTTGTCTTACCAACTGCATCTCTCCTCCTGAACTAGAAAGGATAAACTATTATCGACGGAGCCAAACTTGTTAAATATTAAAAGACTAAACCAAAAATTTATCTGATATGCTAACAGCCAAAGCAGTTTTCTAAGAATTCATCTCTGATAAATGATCATTTGGAGGGCGTGCACGTATCATATAAAAGCATCTTACAAACCGGTTACTTTCTTCTACACCAACTTGATGAACTCATGAATTGCCTAATAAGATGATTGGAGAATAGATTTCATGCAGAAATATTAATGCAATTGATCTGCAAACTTTCCCATAAATTTCTCCAAAACAGAATCAATATATACTATTTAAATTAGGAAATGCCATTTCAATAAAAATAAATGCATTGATTCGATAAAAGCAATAAAAAATGGCCAATTTGCATATAGGGCATTGTTAGGTTAGGCCTAGTCTCATATGCAGATGAAACCGTTCTTTTAAGAACCCTTTCTTTTCGGACGATCTGCTGTTAGACTTCATCAGTTCTGGAACTACTGCTACGTTGGCGAAATCTAAAAAAAAAAGAAAATTATGGATTATTATATGAAGAGTAGCTTCTTCTTTATTGGCTGAAAATACGACGAGTTGCTGTCTTCGTTGCGCAACTTGCAAAGTTATAAACACGTCTGTTAAATCTTAATACATTAGTTGCAGCCTGCAGAACATCTTCGGCTATCAACGGTCTCAAGAATAACATATACGATAAAACTGTCTGTGGGTCGTTCTGGACTTTTTTTTAATATATATATATATATATATATTAAATGGGACTTTAGGTTAACATTAATATAAATATAATAATAGTACTTGTAATAATAATGTGAACAGAAGGAAAACTGAAAAGAATGAAGCGTTTTCGAGCACGAAAAAGGGCAGTAATTAACCCATGAAAATATCAGTTTTGGTCATTTTGTCGAATTTCCAAAATGGGCTAATACATCATTTTCACAGTACCAATAAAACTAGAAAAAATTGGAAATCAGGGAAAAACATTTCTTAAAGGTTGGCGTTGTTTTGGTCTTTGGGGACTGTTACGTCCCACGCGGAAGGGAGATTATTGCAATTGGGGAGAGAAACAACAAAACTAAACTGAAATCACAAGGCTGGGCTAAGACATTTGATGATTCTCCGAGTCTTGTCGGTCGGTTTTTGTTCAACATTTCCCGCTGCCTCTATATTCCTATTTCTCAACTGCGTTTGGTGGCAACTTTTAATAAATTAAATAAAATCATGTATTTATTTGTTATGATCTATGTCCATGTTCTTGTCTCTGTTTAATATTTTTATTATTATTTTAATAATATTATTTTTAAAATTCTAAATTTTCCTTTAAAAATTTTATTTTATTTATTAAAATAATATCATTTGATACGATATCAATATTTTCCGTGTAAGGAATAAGTGTGTGGTTAGTGGTGAGCGTTTGACCGAGTCAAGTCGAGTAAAAAAATTTCGAGTTGACGAGTCTTATTTTATAACTCGGATTTGATTTGAATTTTTTTCGAGTCGAGTCGATTTTTCGAGTTTCTGTTTAAATTTAGTTGTAAATATTTATAATATTATAATATTATTTGATTCCAATTTAAGTGACTTTCTATAAGCATATATACAATATAAATATATTTCTTCATATTTTTTTCATACATGATATATTATATCATACAAAGTCCAATGACTCGACTCAAACTTAAAAATAAATTCACTAATTATTAAAAAATTTCAAGTTATTTGAGTTACATTTTTCAACTCGATTTGAATTTGAATTTTTTTCAAGTCGAGCCGAGTTTATAAAATTGCAACTCAAAGTCAATTCGAGTTAAAAAATTTCAATTTCTCTAATCGAGTTTTGCTCACCCCTATATGTGGTGATTATCTATTTGTCTTTACTCACCCAATGTGTGCATGTTTAAAAGACTATATTAATTACGAAAAATTTTATATCTAAACAATGTGAGATTTGAGAAATTCATGACTAAACATGCTTATTTTAAACAGTTAAAGACAGACACTAAATTTAATCAAACCTTAATGTTGATATGATTAGTGGGTTTCTTAATCAAATTCTATTTTCTAAATTTGGACCTTAATGATGTAGCTGCGAAGCACGAGTACGACACCCAATATTGTTTGAAATACTCAATATGTCCTCGAGACGGGTACGAGTCGGCTACGGTTTTGGGTATGTGCCGGGAACATCACATGCTGAAGGAATTAGATGAATATAACACAGATTTTTGGGATGTATTAACGATGAAATTTGATCTTTACGCGAAGTTCTTTTTGAGTGAATACATTGAAACAAACATTTTATGGCTGACAAGCTTTACCTCGTTCGAAACAAAAACAATGACTAACAAATGAATTTGATCCCATATTCATTGCGATAAGGGTTTAAGTGATCCCAAAGGGATATCTTGGCACTCTTTAATTGTATTTTCTGGGAGAGAGTAGCAGCTTTTGTGGTTGAGGTTTCGGGGGATTTTGTTATATGTCATCTTTAAATTTCCTTTGTTTCGACGGGGAGAAGGGGCTTTGCCTTAAGTAGGATTCTTGATTATTAGTGTTGGTAAAATAGACTGCTGCAAAACGAGGCGTTAGCACTGACTGGAAAATATTAAATAAAATAATCAATCAGAATGATAACCGTGTCGTGGTAATCCACTGCCTTAGAAACGAATTCGCCCCGATGTGTGTAATCGCTGCAGTAGGCGGACCGTTCCCCCGAGGTTAACACGGCTCTCCAAGAATTCGTACATCCGAAAACTGGAGTGAACTTTGGTGGTATTGCTTTTCTCTCAACTCAAACAACACTCACTATAGAGGATTGTTTCAAAGCAAATGTTTTGCTTGGGATGATTAAAATGAATGAATTTGCTCTCTATTTATAGGATAAATAGTGAGGGTAAAATGGTCATTTCCAACACTATATTTCCAATATTTAATTAGCATTTTCCATGATAATGCTATAACCTAATTTGAGCATTTTCTCATGCTAGTGGAATTTTGAGTATTACCAATACTTTGAGCATTATCAACATTCCCCCACTAATGTGAAATAATTCTTTCGTAAAGATAAGAGCAATGAAGTTAAAACATGAGAAGAGCAATAGCGAGATTAGTTGCCTAAGCACTAGTGAACGTATCTGAAACTAGTACGTATTGATGATGAGCACTCATTCTCTTAGATAAGTGAAACTAGTCTGGAACTTTCTAAGATTAGGGTAAACTCATAACACACAACTAAACCCTTCATCCACCAAAGTTCTCGAAGTGTCTATAAAGAATTTATACAAAAGCGTATATATGTTAAGCCCTCTTTCCTCAGGATTCTAATAAGTGTACTAGAAAAACGACCCAACGTTTTTCATAGAAGGTGGCTAATTCTTCTCACTTACATAGGTTATTTCATCAAGTTTATCTCAACATAAACCACTCAAACTGAGCTATGAAATAATTAAGAGCTTTTATAATAGCTCAACCTCACAAAGGGTATGGTGACTTTCTTCAAGTTCATTAAAAATGAACCACCCAAACTCTGGGATTAGAAGTCATTAAGAATAAATATTCAACCTCATAATTCGGTGAATTCAATATGTCCTTCTCACTAGGAACTCTCATTCAATATGTCCTTCTCACTAGGAACTTCTTGGGTTTGAATTCATTAAGAGTTTAATAAAACTCATCCTCTCAAGCGGTAAGTTCATCTAGTCCTTCGCGATTAGAACTACCCACTAAACTCTGGGTTATGAACTTATTAAGAATAGATATTCAGCCAAAATCGGTAAATTCATCAAGTCTTTCTCACTAAGACCACCCAAAGCCTGGGCTATGAATTTATTAAGAGCAATTGAGCTCATCCTGGGCATGCTCATTATTCATCATAGGGATAGGCAGTAGGAATGTGCACTATGAGTCTTTCTATGGTTTCGTTTGACCACATGGAACTTAGATAACTAAGTTGGGTATCCACCATGAATTCCTCAACCAATGGGCTTTAGACCCATCCCCCTCGACGAATCTAGGACCAATGATCTGCTAGGTTCCTTTCTGACTTCACATACTCTAAAGAGAGCACTCCATT